AGTTATAAAATTTGATTACATTTCGTTGGCCATCCGACCACGCGGAACTTGAAACTGGTGCCAGCGGGTAGCTCTGACATGTGCTCCCACTGCGCGAGGGCTCCTCGGCCAAAGCGCAATCGAACTCAAAGAGCGCGCGCGTGTATCCACAATTCTGCAGAGATTAGACAACAGATGGTCCATCTTTTGAAATTCGTCACAGTACGTAGTACTCAGGGCAATTATCCAAAATACATCGCATTAATTAAATAGAATATGTGGAAAGAAGGGGACGTCTTGGGACTGAGTTGTTACAAGTGACAAGTCTAGTAAAGGTGTTTAACGACAAAAAGAGGGAGCGGAGCCCTGAAAACACAAGACATTGACAGGGACCATGTAGAAAAATACAAATGTATGAATGTATGGCTCTGTAAGTGAAGGACATATCAAGAGGGACACGAAGAAACCATACAATCAAGAAAGGGAAAGTAAATTAGGCTTTTATGAAACTCGAGGCAGGACAATTATACTTGACATGAAGTGGTCAGGATATATGAAACGCAGTGCTGGTGCCCGGACTATCTTTTCGAAATTGGGCAGTTTGCATGAGGTGGAACGTTCATGAAAGATTAGAAATTCGGCAAGGTACCGTGGGCAGATTGACGCTGAGACCGTATGGGAGCGCTCCAAAGGAGGTGGACATGGGGGACATGGGCTGGTCGTTCATTGAGAGCAGAAGGACAATTATTAAGCTACAATTTTAATATAGCTTAAAATAAATGGAGGTACGCGGTAGGAATTGACAGTATAAAAGCAATTATACATAAAAGCTTAAACGCAAAATGAACAAACCGAACCCGAAAGGTGATATGTAGAGGCCTGCCCCGATAGCAATTTGATCATCCGTATCCGAACCGCATCCTCAAGATTCGGAATCGCACACGACCCCCAATTCGCGCATTAATTTTGCACCAATTACATGAAGCCTAAAAAAAAATCTTAACCTAGAAGTTGTTTGTTAATCTTTATACAAATAACTCTTCGATTTAGAATATGGCAGAACTAATTTTATAGCATTCTGTATTATTGAATTTATATTATAAACGATCATCCTCAAAACACTTCGCGTCGCTGAAAAGATGATCACAGTCATGAGATCGTCCTGAGAGCCTGCGACATCCCGCCCCGAAAATGCGTTTGAAAGGAAGAATTTGTTTTCGTTTTGTAATACTAATTTCATGCAGACGCGTGTTTTCTAAACATAAAAATTAACAAAGCACAGGGAAACCAGTAACATTGTTTCATTCTATGTATTTAGGTCAAACGATAAAAAAGCGGGAGGGGAAAGGCGACCACTCACCGCAGCGAAGTACTCCTATATGGGTGGTAAGATGCGAGTACACCACTAGGAAGCTATCACAACATTCAATAATAGCAACACCTTTTGGTTTCAGGTTAGAGCACGAACCCTCACCTGCGCGCTCCGAACCAAAATACTTAGCCGCACCTTGCTATTTTTCGATAAAGAAAAATAACGCGCACACGTCCAGGTTTCACTCATCGAGATCGCTGCTTGGAAGCAGAATATCGTCACAACGTTGGACGGATTCAGACTGGTTCCCCTCTCTTGAATTACAAGACCCGCTAATGAGAAGTTTCTTTCTGCTGGTGCACTTGATTCTGAGATAGTATGCACGAATATCGCTACAAGAGTGAGGTACTGAGACTCGTACCTCGCTTTTGTGGTAGGAGGCTTTTACTGTTTTTTTTGTGGCTTGTATGTTTTGGGTTTTCTTTGCCCAAAGAACGTTTTCCGCTATTTCTTTGCCACAAAAAGAATTCTCTTTCACGGGACGATTGATGCCCCTATTCTTTACTCTTTTTAGGGACAGATTTTCTGGTGAGACAGAGCACTCTAAATCGAGCTTTGGTAGAATAAGGTCTCTCTTGGCGCAAAGAGCAATTTTCTTTGTGATTGTAACCATTTTTTAAGAAAGTAATTTGCTCCCGCAAAACCATTCGATCCTACACTTCATAATATCACTCACTCATTCACTCTACACTGTGCGGTCTCACACGATTATGGGCCCCTCGGCGAAAATTTAAATACTGACCCGCAATAATCTTCATACGATCCGCAATCCGCCAAATCTGATTGGTTTTTATCCGCATCAGCCAGGTGATGGCGGATATCTCCGGATAATCCGCAGGTAATCCGCGGATATGCAGGGCCGTACTGATATGTAAATACCTAGATACGTCTGAGCAGGCTAGTTCGGTTAAAAAGATACGAAAATAAGCAGGAAAAAAAATGTGATAGCGAAGAGTGCTAGAGAAATCGACTAAAGCAATGTACTGGTCACAAAAACGATGACATATGTAACAGGTGTTTGATAATTCGCGTAAAAGCTTTTTACTGTTTCAGGCGAGAACGTGAGTCTTAACGACGATGACACAAATGGCTAAATTTTAAGATAGAGACATATATGTTCCGTGTGCCATCGTGATATCAAGACTCTGGAGCATGCGATTTTGAAGTGCATGGGGCTTCATCCTGCCTTCCTTAGAGGGGTAAACGATTTCGCCGAAGCGCTGGGTTTTGCTGGTTAGGAAGGAGGAACGGAGGAACAGAAGATTACAATCACAAACGTAGCTTAGAAGATTGGTGGGGAAGGTATAAAGAAGCGTGATGATACACAAAATTGATGGGTAGATTATACTCCATGACAACTTTTCTTCGCAATGCAGTGGAAGGCACAGGCCCGCGTCCCCTCTCCCATTTTGAGTGTGCGCGGGCTCTCCTCCTCTCCCCGGAAATGGGGAAAGGAGGAGAGCCTGCGTACACTCAAAATGGGAGAGGGGACGCGGGCCTGTACCTTCCACTGCATTGCCAAGAAAAGTTGTCGCGGAGTATAGTTACCGAAAGGCGTAATTTAAAGTAAAATCAAGGCGAGGTGGCGCAAGCTTCCGTCCGATCCAAAGGGTAAAGTGAATTCCATCCATGCGTTCAAATATCTTACGATGGACGACCGCTTGCTAGAAATGTTCTGGTAGTTTCGACCATGCATCGGAACAAAAGGTCGTCTTCACAACGCCTCGCAAAAGAACAGCATTTGGCTAGGAACAGAGAAGCCAGGTGGACTCCTTCTGGTGCAATATTACATCTATGCACCGAAAAAGGGAACGAGGTTGCTCTCATTTAAATCAGCAAAATATGGCCTTCATAAAAAACAAAAAGATAAAAATTTAAAATACTTCAGGTTTGACATAGCCTGCAGCAAATCACTGCAGGAAAAGCGCCGTTTTTATAGCCTATACATCGAGCCAATGAGGGTCAAGTGGTCGTAAAAAAGGCGCACCCTACTCTGCTGTCTCCTCTGTAGCTCAACTTTCGGCGCTTTCTGTTTCTGTAGTTTTTGGCAATGCGGACACCAAACAAACTAAATAAGGCAAAAAAAAACAAGGAAAAACCGCGCGGAGAAGGATTTAATTGTCTGAATACTAACTGCAATTGCATATTTCGACGACGGGCAGCACATCCTTAAATTGAATGTGGCAACTAACCGTATTATTTGAAATAAGTTAATTAGCGTACTTTAAATTATTACGTCGCTAATTATAAATTTACATTCGTAATCTAATCCAATGTTTATTTGTCTTCGGTGAAGTTTTTTCAATTGTTTTTGTTTTAGAAAATACATTTTACATTTAGGCTCCATTAACATTGATGCGACCGTAGCGCATCGTATCGACATTTGCATATATTGATTTGTACTAGACAGGTAGAGGAGAAAAAAAAATAAGAGGAGAGGGTGCATGTGATTGGTCGCTGTTTCATTCGATACGCTACAATCGCCTGCATGCAATCCAAGCCATATACTAAAACTTGTGCATCACTGGCGTAATGGGCGGCGACGCATAGGAGTTCGGAACCTGGAATAGCGCAGAATTTAAACGCGTCGCAAATGTTGGCAGCGCCGAGAAGCTTACCGTCGAGCTGGACAATCGTTGACTAATCATTTTCGACATTTCATCTTGTATCTTGTCGACTGCATATTTCATGAAGTACCCTCTCAAGAATAGCAGGCCCCTCATCAAAAGAGAAAATTCTGGAAAGCAGTCTGGACGAAGGAACATTTACAGATTTATTAACAACCTTATTTTATCTAGCGTCTGACGCTGAGAACAGTCACGTCAGCTAACGTTTGAGTCATTAAGATGTAAAAGTGTGCTTAAAATACCAGTAAACCTAATTATTTATGTGTTTTTTTTCGATATCTTCAATTATTTGACCCTTGCAGAGACCTAGTCAGCTTTTCCGCTTCAAGACAAACACTTTTTAAACTCTTTAGTCAGTTCCTCAAAGTCTGCACGCACCATATTCAAGGCAATCGTCATACCATGGAAAACTATTCTTATAATTCCTTTCTTTTTCTAACTTTACAAATCACAACATTTTTGTTTCTATGCGTCCGTAAGTATCTTGAAGAGAGTTTTTCTTTGAAGCGCTTCGACGCTAAAGAATTGTTTAGAAAATAGGAAAAAAAAGTTCAGAAGTAAGACCAAGCTATGAGACGTTCAATATTTTAAGGTCAATGTTCTGATAATATGCAATGATTTCACATTTTAGTAGCGAAACAAAGGCCTCAAATCTTTGGATCTTGAAAATAGTGAGAAAAAGGATGAGACAAAACTAAATCCCGAAGGCAAAAAAAAAAAAAAAAAAAAAAAAAACATAAAATAAAAGAGCAATAAATCCTTCCCACTATTCAAAAAAGAAAAAAAATACAAAACGAAATGAAGATGGAAAGAGAAAGAAAAAGAAAGAGAGCATTGCGAGTGTTATAAAAATTTATCTCCAGACTCGATATTTTGAGCCATATCTATAAGAAACTTCTTTTTACACAAACCAAATACAATTTAGTTTGATACTACACTCCTCTCTTTTCCCCCAATGTTAATTTGTGTGTTATGTTTGACATTAATAAGTTCTAATTAATACGTGTTTTTGTTCTACTGTTCTACCAAGACGCACCTATGATGAATCGCTGCCATCCGTTTCCGAGGGAAGCCATAAAGTTTTTTAGTTCTCTTTTTATGATTTCCGGTCCAGCCTCCTCTCGGCCGATGGCGGTGCGACCCTCGCCACCGAAAAGCGAGAGTAACATCACGTCCAACGAGAGTCTCTGAAACGCTGAGTGAACTTCAATGGCCTCATCCTGGGCATGGAGCGACTCGAGGACTTCCATGAACTCGCTGCAGCACTGGTCCATCAAGGTTGCTTGCTGACAAGAAAAACGAGAATATTGAGAGACCATCACCGGTGAAATTGAAATAGTTACAATGAATGAATGAATGAATGAATCAATCAATCAATCAATCAATCAATCAATCAATTAATCATTCTTTCATTCATTCAATCAATCAATCAATTATTCAATCAGTCTTTATTTTCATTGTGCAAACCGGAATCTCTGAAGTGGCCGCGGTAATGCACACAAACATGTATTTACAACTGAATCAACACAAACGCCTAAGTTTTGGTTTCTAAAAGCTCAGATCTGCAGGAAAATATTGATATATAAAAAAACTGCGTTTGGAAAACACGAAAAATTTGCAAAATCGATGGTAAATCATGATACAATTATAAATCGGATCTTGCCGAATTTCGGTAAAAAAAATAATGACCTGGACAAAAAAGTGGACAACACGCCTGTGTGCGTATTGCTTACTTTTTTTTTCATCCTAACTCTCGGGTGTTCAAAATGTTGTAAACGCTATATCAACTTTTTTGGGTGCTAGACTACTCTGTGTTCACATATTTGTCACCCCAACTTGCAAGTTAACAGTCATAAACGCCGTGTTTTTTTGTTTATTTTTTTTTGGTGAAATTTTTTTTTAAACTTTCTGAGGCTTTCAATCATTGGCTTTGTTTTGAAGTTTAAAGGTGCCTCAGCTTTTTTGTGTAATTATCTAACTGTTTTCCTACGGAAAATTTTGCGTACGCTTTAAAACTCTCGCTAGTATATACGCCGCAATTTCGCCTTTAGTCTCTACCTGCCCTTATGATATTGCACACAAGTTCAATTGTGCATGTCATAATGTGGCTGAAACAAACCAACACCATTGTGTTTCTTGTATCTTCCAAAACGACCGTCGTTTTTCTACGGGGCACGCAAGCTCCAGACAGATTTGGTACTTGTCAAAAGATTTGATCGTCGCGCGTGCGACTTGAAAATAGAAGAAACATCACTCAAAGGCGTCTTGAATCTTGCGCCAACCAGTTTATTACAGCTGTAGTCAAGTCGTACGCCAGTAGCCAAATCTGTTAAAAAATGCCGGTGCGAAAGAAGATAGTTTCAAATATAGTCAGGGACTCCTAAACCGGGGGGGGGGGGGGGGGGGGGGGGGGAGGCCAGAGTTCCCCCAAGATTTTTCAGGATGGGGCTGAGCCCCCCACTCCGACTTTGAAGAAACGCAAAGCTGTTTATTTATCTATTTTAATTCCTCCAGTACGCTAGGCGGCGGAAGAGGCCGGATCAACGCCAAATCACCTTTCCCTTTGGCCAACAAGGTGGACTGCCAGAGTGAAGTCAATGAAAAGGTTTGCTGATAACTATGCTAGAGTTCAGGAGATACTAAACGAGCTGCTACTAGGAGAATATTCGATGGCAGACAACAGCAGGGCCATTTTGAAGGGTTATAAGAGGCTTTCGAAAAGGTTTGAAACTCTGCTAGGAATAAACATTTCTATAGCTTTGTTCGGCCCATGCAAAGAACTCTCAAGGGGACTCCAACGTTCAACGTTTCGCGCCGCAGGTATCAAAGAGGTTGCAGAGACTCTCTGCGAGGCAATGTTCCGTCTGCGGTCTAAAGTCGAGTTTGAAGAGTTTTGGGGCTGCACGAGCTCATCTGGAATGCCGCTAGGTTTGAGGGACCCTCGCAGCGCAGAGCCGACAAAACCGCCAAAAAGGTTTGAAATGAGCAACACACCTTCTCCGCCAGTTGTTGATTGCGAGGCAGCGTTACGGAAGGACTACTTTGCGCCTGTAGACTGCATTATGAGTGAAACTCAATGGCGGTGTGAACAGCCTGGTATGAAACAGCTAGTAAAACTAGAGAGCACCTTGAATAACGCAGCCGTGCGAAGACAGTTCACAACAGATGACTTGAAAGAGGCCCTAGGAGTGCGTGCACTTGATTTTGATCTGGCCCGATTCTCTGCGCAGCTTTTAATATTGCCGGCTCTTTTATGCAGCCTTGATTCCCTCACAATTGACACCATATTGAGGACACTACAGGCAAAATCCGAGGAAATTCGTGAACTGCTGAACCAAGTCGTAAAATATACGAAACTTCTTCATTCTGTGCCTGCATCTGTCGCCTCGGGGGAGCGCTCGTTTAGTGCCTTACGCCGAATTAGAACATATCTACGCAGTCTTATGAGTCAGGGGAGGCTAATACACCTCCTTATTTTGCACATTCAAAAAGAAAGAACCGCCGAGCTCAACCTGGACGACATCATCAAGAAATTTTTCTTCAGGACGGCTGAGCGAACGGCGACCTTTGGTCTTCCTTGAGACAATCAACAGATGTGGCCTTGGGGCCTATATATGGATCTGCTTCCTTAATCACGCTTTTGTGCACATTTCCTAAATATATATTAATATGTCACTGTATATAATTAATCCTCGTTGCTTTCTGGTTTATTTCATAGCGTGGATGTCTTTTTGGATGAACATTTAAAGAATAATTAACGGGCTACTCCGCAAACTCAATTTTGCAATGCTGTGTATCCTTGCAGGGATCTTGAAATTGCCTGAAGCTATGAGGGTCGGAAGGTGCACGCGCAAAACGCAGTATTGCGTTCTACGTGTATGCATTTCCGACCCGAAATTGTATTGCGTACGCAAGGGTTCGAGCCACTAAAACTTCCTACTGTTGTTATAAAGTCTAGAAGTTTTTTGCGCGACAAACAGCAATTCGAAACAGCGTGAACAGTTGTTTTAAAGCAGGAAGGAAAAGTGATTGTACATAATGTTGAATAAACCTGAGACTGGGGCAGAAATAAACATATAAGTCGAAGGAACACAAAGGGACAGGACGACGTCTCAAACTCGATTCTGTTCTTTCGACTTAAATGTTCATTTCTTCCCCAGCCACAGATTTTTTCAACATGGTTAACATTCGCCAGCTCGCCTGCACCTTTACTATATTATCTCTGGTTTTACTTGCAAAGTAAGAAACTTCAGGAAAATAATATTTTATTTTTTAATAAACAATAAGTAAAAATAAAACGACAGAAATTCGGCTCCAGCCCTTGTTGTCTATATTAAAATATATAAAAACATTTTGTTCGACTTCTGCCCCCCCTCCCCCCCCCCCCCCCCCCCCCCCACACACACACACACTCAAAATCTACTTCCGGAGTCCCTGTAAAAGTCCAAAATGACGATCTGCCGAGATTCGTAATGGCAGTAGTGACGAGAACGTAAAACAAATATTTCACAACTGTCAATTGGTATAGTTTTTTTGGATGCTTCCGTTCTGGGTTACCAGTTTTTATGTTTGGCAGCCATTTCTGATGTACGGGTTGAGCCTGATGACACTTCCGCTACGATGTTACGCTTTGTTTCACGTACCAGCTTCGTATCGTTCGCCACGTTGATAAATGTGTACACGTACCTGAAACTGGGGTTGTTGTTTTATTTTCTTCCTAAAATATGTGTTCTGAGTTTGAATCAAATATTTTTTTTGCTGCTTTTTAAGTCAATTTTATTGTGTTGTGGGGATTTCGTGAAATTGTGATGTTTTCGTGTTTTCGTGCGACTACTTTCCCATCTGGCAACTTAGTTAAGAATATTCCTGAACATGTCTCCACATCAAGTGCCGATCCCTCTCTACCAAAAGACGAAAGAAGAGCTCCAGAGAATGAAAATAATGGGAATAATATCTCTCGTGAAGAAACCAACTTCCTGTTCTTTCCAAAGCCAAGCGGTGCAGTGAGAATATGTGTAGATTTCACTGATCTCAATCGCAACGTACTCCGAGAGTGGCACCCTACACCGTCGTTTCAGCATATCTTGGGACTCTTTCAGGGTGCAAGCTACTTTTCCAAGCTCGATGCAAACTCCGGCTTTTGGCGGATAGCACTAAGCGGAGGCAGCAAGCTGCTCACAACGTTCATTTCGCCGTTTGGGCGTTTCTTCTTCAACCGCCTACCTTTCGGAATCTCTTCAGCTCCCGAGCACTTCCAGAAACAACTCTCGAGTATTCTAAAAGAAGAAAGTTGTGTCATCTGCCACATAGACGATGTTCTCATTTGGGGATCCACTTTTGAAGACCACAACACCCGAGTCTCCGCTGTCTTGCAAAGACAAAGGCTGGTATGACGCTCAACGAGGACAAATGCTCCTTCGAAATCCAAGAACTTATGTTCCTGGGCAACAGAATCAACGAGCACGGTATCCGTCAGTACGATACAAAGGTTGAAGCTGTCAAGGCCATGTTCCCACCTACATCTAAAGCAGAGCTGCAAAGGTTTCTGGGAATGGCAACGTACTTAGCTAGATTTGTTCACGACTTAGCAACCGATCTGTAACCACTCAGCTCCAGGCTCAGTACAAAGCAGGAGTTCGTTTGGGGACCAGCTCAACAAGATACGTTTGACAAGTGGAAGGCAATTTTGTCGTCACAACCGGTTTTTGGAGTCTACGACCCTCGAAAAGAGACTGTAGTGACGGCGGATGCATCTTCTTACGGAGTCGGCTCCGTTTTGAGACAAAAAACAATTGAAGAGAGCAAATATGAAGTCATCACTTATGCTTTAAGACTGCTGAGCGACACCAAAAAACGGTACGTGCAAATTAAAAAAGAGGGTCTAGCGCTCGTCTGGGCTTGTGAGAAGTTTAGTGATTACCTAGTGGGCAAGTTCATCAACCTAAAGACACACCACAAGCCCCTGGTGCCTCTTTTCTCAAGCAAGGCTCTAGACAACCTCACCCTGAGAATGCAACGGTTTCGCATGCGTATGATGAGGTACTATCGTGGACACTGTTAGCTATAACACGGCAGCGGCGGCCATCCCGTGCCCCCAGCGCCTCATAGCAGGCGCCGTCCGAAACCCCGCGCATGCGCCGTGTGGCGGACTCGCTCTTCCCGCCTGCGAGCACACCCTCGCTTTGTCGTCTGCTAGGCACGGAGCAGACGACGCCACAGCGCTTGCCAATTTTCCCTGAACACGGTTCAGCAAACCACCGCGTAAGTGGTGTCCACGGTTGATTCCCTGACTCCGCTGGCTAAGGATAATCATCGCCACTAATTGTAATATCACGGTAAACTACTTTTATCTTTTTTTTTTTATGGGACAAACTTGCAGTTATACTCCGTTTCACTTTAGGTCTAAGCGCAGCGGATGCTACGACACGATAGGGCCAACCAAAAGCGACAAAAGCTCACTTTTTGCACCTTATTGTGTCGCCCGGTGATGCACTCCGTGACATTGCACCTCCTTTGCCGCTATTTGATTGGCTATGTCGTTTTGTAGCGTGCGCTGCATTCGGACTTTAGGTGAAACGGAGTATAAGTCTATTTCTGTATCACACCTGCTGCGCTCATACTGGTTTGCGAGCGCATATTGTAGAAGATGCATTGCGGAATCCTGTTTCTAAAAAAGCAAAAAAAAAAAAAAAAAAAACGTAGACAGGGTTAATGCCTTAATGACTCTGCAATCTCCCCCAATCAAAATCGCCGGTTTAAAATGAGTTTGAGACCAGTTCGCTAGGGCCAGGGTACCAGACGAGCAGCACTGTGGCATCGCCTGCTCTGCGCCTAGCAGACGACAAAGCGAGGGTGTGCTCGCAAACGGGAAGAGCGAGTCCGCCACACGGCGCATGCGCGGAATTTCGGACGGCGCCTGCTATGAGGCGCTGGGGGTACGGGACGGCCGCCGCTGCGGTGTTATAGCTAACAGTGTCCACAATAGTACGCTTACAGCATCACATAGGTGCCAGGGAAAGAACTTCTCGCCCCAGACATGCTATCAAGGGCACCTTTAAAGCATATCTTTCCTCTAGGCCTAGAGAGAAACGTTGGAGCTTTCGTTCACCACATCAGGTCTACATAGTTTTTGAAAGATACATGTCTTCAGTGGATTATTGAATGCCAAAAGACAGACAGCGTCTGCCAATCCCCGAGCAAGTATTCACAACGATCCTAGCCCAGGCGGCGAGACCTCAACAACGACGTGAAGCCCTACTACCAGTTCCGGCATCAATTCACTGTTAGTTTCTCTACGCTGCAAGGGTAGTGGTGCCAGTCAAGTGCTGACCGGAATTCCTACGACTTCTACGGGATGGTCACATCGGCTTTGTAAAGACTCACGCCAGAGCTACAGGATCAGTATGGCGTCCGGGAGTACAAAAGGACGTGGAAGAGGCAGAAACATGTCACCCCTGCATTGAGAAGTCAACAAACAGGAAAATCCCACTGCTTTCTACGGAACGTCCTGACAGACCATGGCAGAAGGTGGCAATGAATCTCTTTTGCAATGATGGCAACTGGTAGTTAATTGTGACCAATTAGTTTTTCAATATTCAGAAATTGCACGATTACAAAGCCTGATTACGCAAGCGGTTGTTCTCCACTACAAGTCCATTTTTGTTCGTCACGGTATACCAGAGGTCGTTGTTTCTGATGACCGCCCTCAGTCTTCTGACGTAGCGAAGTCCGCATCTGCTACATTTGCTGCGGAGTAGAGTTACATGTATCATATCCAGTCCTCGTTATCCCCAGAGCAATGGGTCAACGGAGGCCGCCATAAAACTTATCAAAACATCGATGTCAGTAACAGGAGACCTGTACAAACATTTCCATCGTATCGTACGACACCTTTAAAAACGAGTACAGCCCTGCGGAACTCCTAAGAGGAAGACGCCTCCGGTCAAACTTACCTACAGCAAGCAAGATGCTGCTTCCAATGACCCCCAACCTAGACCGGCTGACGACCCTCAAGAAACAAAGTCGGGAACAACAACAAAGAACATACAATCGCCGCCACGGTGTTCTTGACCTGACGGACATCATGCATCATACAGATGTCTGGGTTGCGGTCCTCAAAAAAGAGAGGTACTGTACCGCAGTCAGCACATGAGCCGAGGTCCTACATTGTGGATACCGATGCAGGCACCGTTCGGAGGAATTGAAGTCATTGTAGAAACCATTGAGCCGATGTGCCGATGACTACAAAAAGAAAAAAAAAACTACTTTAATCACAGGTAACTGCGTTAATCACACTTTCCCGTTCCAAGCGAAAATCCCCGATAGAAAATGTAGCTCGCGCTCGGGCCCAGTCCCCCAACGTCCTCGTCTTCTTCTTGCTCCGCTGAAGGGTTCCTTCATGCACACCCCAGAGAGCACACAAAGTTCATTTTTAACCACTATTTAGCCAGTACACAAGCTGTATTGGTCGTTTTATAACCGCACCAGCGGGAAGTCTGATATCGCAGACTCGTATTCGTCCGTCTCTTCCGAAAAATAATATTTTCAAAACTCCCATCTTCCAGAGCCGGCGGGGTTGCTA